AGGGGGTATGATTGCGGGTGATCTGGGCGCAAAAGGCATGGGATCTGGGCGCAGAGAGCAGGGTTGATTGCCGGTGTCCAGGGGGTATGATTGCGGGTGATCTGGGCGCAAAAGGCATGGGATCTGGGCGCAGAGAGCAGGGTTGGTGTAGAGCAAGGCTGACGTAGAGGTGCAACAGCAGGGGATCTGGGTGCAGAGGGTACTGGTTCGGGAGAAGAAAAGGGAGAAGGCCAAGGTGTGTGGGGAAGAAGAAGGTTCTGGAGAGCAAAAGATTTAACTTTTATTTTTAGCATCCAGCGTGTGAAAAAACGACACGCTGGCACGGGCTAAACGGAGATCGTGACGGTGATGACGTCACCCGTTAGATAATGATCGATTTGACCAAATCGATACTTTGGGGGTGTCATTTGTCCCTGCTTTTTTTGGAGGGGTGGATCCGTCCCTACCCATATTTGTCAAGGGGGTGATTTGAGGGTTCTGCCAATGTATAATGAACTTGTATAATCTCTCTCGTAAAAAGAAAATAATTGATATATTTTCTCATTCAATATATTTAATAATATTATTTAATTTAATCATTAAAATTTATTTTTAAAAATATTTTTATCTTAAATTTAAATTTAAAAATATTAATTTGTTATTAAATGAAATAGAATGTGTTATACAGTGTGTTAAAGTAAATTATATATCAATCTTTTTCCGTCATATAAATATAGGTAAAAAGTATAATATATTTTTTAAAGTAATTTATATAAAAAAATAAAAAAAATTAATACTTATTTTAATATTATTAATATAAAAACAATTTTATTTATTAATTGATTAATTTAAAATTAATATTTATTTTAATACAAATTGATTTTTAAAAAATATATTAATTGTATCCTTTAATTTATACCCTAAAAATATAAATTAAAAAACGCTCTATATAATATAATGCTTTTGTTTTATAATAAATCACTTAGTTAAAAATTTAAGTTTTAATATTTAAAGATTTTTTTTTTTGAACAAGTTACAAATATGGGGGAGGGGGGATTCGAATCCCAACCCTCAGGTTGGAGATGCATCTTACGAACCGACCTATGGTCATTGCATCGTGAGACTCAAGTGTAATATTTAAAGATTTTAAAATAAATAAAAAATATAAAAATATATATTATTCTTTATTGTATTACATATTACATAATATAAAACAAATAAAAATAATATAATGCTCTCTACCGACAGCAACTATTATGATGACAAACTTTAACCATTTCATTTTACCATTTTTTACATCTGATTTTCCAAAAAACAATTATCTATTTTATATTGTTATAACACAAAATAAAGAATATTAAATTTATATTAATTATTAATTTTTATTTTAAAAAAGATAGAATTAATTTTTTATTTTTATTATAAATATTA